GGTGCCTCAGACCGCAGGACAGCGAACCTATTGTTGTTGTAGTCAGACGACCCTCCTACCGCAGATAGGTGGAGGCATGACTCCCACGTGCTCTGCTGGCGAGGGGTGTACGTGTTGTAGTCGAAGGAGATAGTTGAGCCTGGAAGGACGAGGTGCTCCCTATCACGCCGCTTCCAATACTCCTTCATGATGGCTCGTCTGACTTTCTCCTTGATCTTAGTTGGCTCACATGCCCATTCGTCAGGGAACAAGTCGTAAGGTGGCTCTAGAATGCTTGAGAACTTGAACACCTTCTTGATGAGGACAGATGTGTCAAGAGACCAGTCTTCCTCTGGGACGGAGCTCTGGGCGATGCGCGAGCTAACGAGTTGGTGTAGACGCTGCACCTTGCGATACTTCCTCCTGTAGTTGCGCAGGGGATGAGGACTGTTTGCCCGTCGAGCATGCAAAATGTGTCGACGAAGATTGTCGGAGACAGCTTCTAGAGGCTCAAGCAGCTCCACTTCTGTGTGTTGCACAGTTGGGGTAGGCAGCTTTGGAGTAGCGGCTGGATCAGGGGCACGCAGGGATGCAGTACTTGAGCGCCTGTTGGAAGCTTTGACACGCAGCTTCTGTGCAGCTTGGATGTCTCCCTTAATCTCAGCTACAACGGACTCCTTCAAGAGGGTCCGGGCTTCAAGCATGAGGGTTCGCCGCTCCTTCTTCGCCTTGGCAGAAGCACGCTTGCGTTGCTTCTTAGACTGGGCCTCCTGGAATTGGGTCACATCTTGAGCTTGTTGCATGTAGACCTTGGAGCCATACTCGAAGAATGTCACCAGTGGTAGTGATCCAAACTGAATCACAAAGGGCGTCGGGGTGTTCTCGATGATGGAAAGTCCTCCTGCAAGAAGGAGCCTTGGTCAGGTACACTCCACGTTGAAGATCATCATGCAACATGTTGGTGTTGGTTGGATGAACGGCGAAGACGAGCTTGACGACCACAGCATAGCGAAGATGGGAGGAGAACCAGGTCCCACTGGGCGTGCCAATTTGTTTAGGGTGGAAAATAACATCTGAGATCTCGTTTGTTTAGAGATACATATATGTGCGGGCGTGCCAGTGTACCTAAATACACAATGTAAACAAAACATAGGGAACATGCTCTTTATTAATCTTAAAAGATCATAAATACAAATTCCCAATGTAATATATATGTATGCGCGCTCCATAATCTGTCATTGGACAAATCTGACTTGTGCGATGTGGTCTCCTGGTTTCTGGGGCCTTGAGAAGCTCCCAGTTAATTACCTCCGCAGGTCTAGGCCTGCAAGAGAACCTCCGATTAAGCTGCTTGTGGTCGTCTCGTCGTCTTCGCTTCGCGTTCTCCATGCATGGTTGTGATGATGATGTAGATGTGTGTGTGTGTGTGAGCGCCGGCAGCGATCCATGGCCTCGTCGGTCCGTGCGCCGGTGTTGGTCGCCCACCCTCCGTCGTCTAGCCTCGTCGGTCTTGAACAACGTGTCGATGTAGATTGTTGGTGAAGACATGCATGGAGTTGCGTAGCTTGAACGACTTGACGTCACAGCAGTTGCGTCGAGATTAGATTAGAGAAGAATCAGGGAGGAATTATTGAAGATGGTTGATGTAGACGGCGGCCGGATTTAATCAAAGCTCGGCATCTCATTTGGGACAAATAAGAAAAACCAACAGGACTTCTTCAGCCCACGCATTGGTTTGTGCATGGCACTGTAGCAGCAATGACATGTCGTCCTCCGATTGGTTGGCCACGTTGCCACAATAATAAACTTAATCAACATGCATTAGCTAGCTTGTTGCCATCCAACAGCACTGGCTCGCTGTCCTCCCGTCGTCCTTCCTCTGTACTGCAGCCATACTTGCCTCCATCGTCATCCGCTGGTTTCGACGCCATGCGTGATGCTTGACCTCCGGCATGAGAACTGATAGAAGTCTTGGCAGTCAGCGGCAGCTCCGGCGATCCTCGGTGCGCTCCGGCAGGGCGGCTTCCCGACGACCTCCTCCATGGTTAGCCCGCTCCAGTGCGGTGAAGCTTGCAAATCAAGGATGTCTAGTATCTCGGCAAGGTCACAGCTTCGGGTAGATGCATCACCAGCGGCTTGAATTAGCAGTGTCGAGTCCAGGGACAAGTAGCACTGCGTCGGCTTGAACAGACACCGGCATCGATGAGGCTTCTGTGACGCGTAGATGAATCGGCCACCGCGACTTCCCCGGCGACAATGATACGTGCAGATGGATCCCTATGCATGGATGTGTGCGTGCTGTAGATGAAAGAAAACGAAACAATCTTGCTAGCTTTTACCTGGACTAGCCATCAAGCTCATCTCCTGCGCTTGCTGATGATCGGATCACCGCGTGTGCCCTCTCCTGCCGGACGCCGGGACTCCGGCCGAAGTCGCTTGCCGCCGCCGGTGCGTGTCGTCGATGGATGGATCGCCGATGAGAATTGATGGATGGATCGCCGATGAGAGTTGATGGATGGATGTGTTGATGCTGGATGGGTAGATGCGTTGATGATGGGTGGCTTGTGGATGCTAGATGTGTTGGTGAATGAATGTGTGGATGAGTTCGTCAATGCCCCTGGCTGCCGAGGGGTCGACGCCTTATATAGGGGTCTGGGGTCGGTGCTCGCCGCGTCCGCGCGCCGTTTCCTCCGCGTCAAGTTCGTTGCAGATAAGGCTTGATCGATCAATTTGTTATTTGTTCATATCCTTCTTTGATTTTATCTCTTAGCTTCTCCTGGCGTCAAATATCTGATTTGTAATTCGCTTTGTTTCTCTGCTGCTGGGCCACAGTTCGGTGATAAGCGCCTCGCCAGCGCTCGCGCGAAGTAACTAACTAGATCAAGTTTGTTATAGAGATAAAATCAATTTGTTTGTTGGTTATCTCTTAATTCATCTGGTTTTATCTCTTCCGCATATTAACTTCTGAAATCTTGGCGCGTAGGCAGCTACCGTCTTCGGCCATGGGCCGAGCCCATGATTAATCACTTGGATATGCATAGATTGCTTAATCACCCAGGCATGCACACACATACGACCGTCTACTGTAGTACATGCATGCATGCACGTGATTGCCTCACCAGCCAATCTTCACACGGCTAGTTATTGGTTAATTATACATGCACATATACTAATCCAAGTATATATATTCCCAGCTGCCTGTGCATGCATGTATTTGCGTGTATATACATGGCCGAGCTTTGCGTAGAAATGATAAGTTAGCCAACTTACAAACTGCTTGTTTGTTTTGTCCATCATGAGTAAGTCTTGTGTACACATATAATCGCCAAAATACCATCAAACAATAACATGTGTAAAATGTTACCTCTGACACACAAAACCCAATAACTCTAACACTAACATTTTTCTTAAATTTTATATAGAGGTTTTCTCTTTTTCTCTCTCATCTCCTCTCCTCCACCCATCATTTGATCTTAAGTGACATATTGGGGTTTCTGTTTAGATGCCCATAATAGCTAACAACTTGTTATTACCTAGATGTCTAATATTTTCTCAGGTTTTATCGTTACTCTCTCAATATATATATTTATAAAAAAAATAAAGACATAACTCAATATGATAGTATATAACTTTGATGCATCCGATTGTTTTTAAGTTTACGTATAGCCACGCGCCTTAAAACTACTGTACAACATCCCAATATTGATATTTAGGGCTCCTGTATTGGGATGTTGTACAACATCCAAACGTAACTTTGTGTAATTTCTCCTTTTTAATATATACACTGTGGGGCCTTCCTCATAGTATTTTAGTAACATAAACTTTGTGTAATTCATGTGGATTTGTTTCCAATAATATTCAAAACTTTATGTGTTTTTTCCCTATTATTGTGTATTTAAATTCTCACATTTCAAAAGAACCCTCATCCAATACCTCATAATATAAGGGATTTTGAGGGATTTTGATCTAGGATATGTCACATCCACTCAAAATCACATCCACTCAAAATCCTTTATATTATGTGACAAAGGGAGTATATATATTGTAGAGGATGAGAAGGGGAGCATTAACTCTCATATAAATCATAATATAGTACTCCCTCCGTTTCAAAATGTTTGATACCGTTGACTTTTTAGCACATTTTGACCGTTTGTCTTATTAAAAAAATTTGTGAAATATGTACAACTATATGTGTACATGAAAGTATATTTAACAATGAATCAAATAATATGAAAAGAATAAATAATTATTTAAATTATTTGAATAAGACGAATGATCAAACACGTACTAAAAAAGTCAACGGTGTCATTTGAAACGGAGGGAGTAGTAGTGACCATATTATTGAGGAACCATGACAATCGTGTTAAGGTCTTTGATAAGTATCATCACGAATTATTCTTTTAGTGGTAGACGATGTACTCATCGATAGCAAGACGCTTTGGGATAACTTTATCAATTCCAAAATATATGTCTTTCAAAGAACGAGTGGGTCGCATGCGTTTGTACGGTGTTTCTTAAAAAAAATAAAAAAGGTAGATGCAGGCAATAATTACACACATCACATGGGTGGGGGTTTGCAAGGTTAGTCATATGTAAGCCAGACAAGAGTGTGCAAGCCAGACAAGGGTGTGTTTAGCTCACGCTAAAATTGAAAGTTTAGTTAAAATTGAAACGATGTGATAGAAAAATTGAAAGTTTATGTGTGTAAGAAAGTTTTGATGTGTGATAGAAAAGTTGGAAGTTTAAAGAAGATTCGGTTGTGTTTAGTTTATACTGAAGTTTGGAAGTTTGGTTGAAATTGATACGACATGATAGAAAAGTTGTGTGTATAAAAGGTTTGATGTGATAGAAAGTTAAAAGTTTGAAAAAAAAAATTTACAACTAAACAGGGCCGAAGTTTGGAACTAAACTCGGCCCAAATATGCAGCAGACGGCTCTGCTCTGCGCTGCTGCGGCTGGCTCACATGCGGCCAAGTATGCATACGAACGGAATAGAGAGACCTTATCCAGGCAAAGTGAAATGAGGCTCACGAGGAGGCATAGGCCATCTGGTCTGGGTCTGGTCGGTCGTCTTCCACTCCATCCGATCGACCAACCAGCCGATGGGTTCTCGCGGCTGCTTCTGCAAGCGACCCGCGGCCATGGGCAATCTTCTTCTTCTTCTTCCCCACCCGGCCAAGGCCAAATTGAGGCCTCCCACCACGGCGGCGAAGCGCGGTACACTCTTCTTCTGCAGCCTCAGCACCGATGGTCCGTCGTCGACGATGACCGTCTCCATCACTGGCGCCACCGGTTTCGTTGGCCGCAGATTGGTCCAAAAGCTTCTCTCCGGTACATACATCTTGCAGTACTACTGCCACTCTTCTGCCAGTAGTAGTAGCAGCAATGCGATTTCATTTCTTTCACTAAGCTATAGCTATAGCTAGTGTACGTGTTTATATCTACAGAAGATCACAAGGTTTGCGTCTTAACGCGGTCCGCCAGCAAGGCCACATCAGTTTTTCCGGGTAAGAACAGGTAATACTATAGAGAAAGATTTACTACATTTACGAATGCACTGTAACAGTTGATTTATTCCTTCCTAATATTGCTAATTAGTGATTAATACATATCTATGATAATCTCAGTCTAGCTGTATATGTTTCAATTTTACTTTTGGACCACATATATTATATTTAGTTATGTCGAATTAATGAAGTCTAATATATGTGCGTGCGTACGTGCGTACGCCTGTATACATACTGCAGCTTCCACATTTCCAGGAATTACAATAGCCGAGCAGGGAGACTGGGATAAGTGCATCCAAGGCTCCACTGCTGTTGTTAACTTGGCAGGCATGCCCATAAGCACAAGGTGGTCACCTGAGGTAATTGTAATTCCTACCTACACTATTACATTACATATAATTAAGAGCAAAATTCACGTAACTAAATATATTATGATCAAACCATGGCAAAACTACAGATTTAAGATGTTGTATCACAAAACTACATATTTAGAGATAAATTTAACACGAAACTATAGATTTAAGGTCAAGTATCACAAAACTATAAATTTTATACTGAAGGTATCACAAAAATACAGATTTTATATTGAAGTTATTACAAAATTAATATAAATTCCAAAGTATAAATCCCTAGGACTAATCGTATGTTAGAGCTATAAACGTTGTAGTTTTGGGATGAATTACCCCTAGACATGTAGTTTTGTGATAAATTTGCTACTTAATCTTTATTTTTAATACTCCATCCTAAATATGAGAAATTTTACATTAAATTTGTAGTTTTGAGATAGTTTGATCAAGAATTTATAGTTTTATGAAATTTGCCCTATAATTAATTAAGAGCTACCACACTTTTAATTACGCCTTTAATTTCAAAATAGAGTAAATTGCATTGCTGGTACACGAACTTGTCTGGTGGGTGCAATCTAGTGCACGAACTTGTAAAATGCTCGTTTTGGTGCATGAACTTGTCTAGTGCGTGCGGAGGAAGGCATAAAGGACACAACATGGCTAATCTTATTAATTTAGGGGCTCATTAGGATACTATGTAAACATATATCTGAGAAGGTTTGCTATTAGACATACACCTCTTCAATAAAAATATAATGGATATAGTGATCGTAGAAAAAGATAAAAAAAAACCCAACAATGATATAAGGGTTAGAAATATATGAAATTCATCACTTCCATGATGAAGGATAAAGTAGAGACCACATTTATAAATATTGCATGTCTTATATACACTCACTACACGTATGCATGTCACATCCTAATCAACATCAGCTTCGTAAAATTAACATTGCCAGGCTATTTTGGTCCTCTTTCGCACGAACTAGACAAGTTCGTGTATCGAAACAAGCATTTCACAAGTTTATATACTAAGTTGCACCCATCTAACAAGTTTGTGTACTACCAATGCAATGTACTCTTCAAAATATAAGGCACAATTATTTTTCAGAAAAACTACTCTGCAGTATCCCATGGAAATGGAATAAGTGGATAACGATTCCATCTTATCTATTCCCCTTCTCTCTCTCTGAGCCTTCGTCTTCCTCCGTCTCTCTTATTTCGCTCCTCTTTTCCCCCTCTCCTCCTCTCTGCTGCAAAGAGCTTCTCTATACAGGCATGGCGGCAACAAAGCAGGCCCCTGATAACGGATCTAGAGGCATAGGTCCTTCTCACTGTTAAATCTACCCCGAGTGTAGATACCTACCATGTATGGTACCTGTGGTATCACGACTGATACCCATGTATCAGACACGGTACCTGTAGGTAACGTGTTTAGTACCTGTGGTATCACGACTGATACCCATGTATCAGACACGAGGCTTGGTATAGGTATCAGGTATCGTGGCTAGCTGCGAGGTATCAAATATCAATCACAACACGTTTTCTCTCCTCTTCTCGCTTCTCCTAGGCTCGACCCTTCTCCTAATGCTGCGACAACCAGCGTCACTATCTACGTGAACGTGTCGAGTGGGGGCGAGATGACTAGACTCTCGGGGAGAAAGCATGCACGTGGGATGACGTCATCCTCCATAAAGTGTCCCGTTTGAACGGAATCCCGTTCTCTAGCAGCCCTCTTATGTTTTTCATATATTTTGGCGTACATGCATATGCATGCAATTAGCTAGCACCTCGTTTCCACTAAATTATTATTTTTTAAATCCTTGACACTCAAGATGTTTAGGTTGTGTTTAGTTCACACTGAAGTTTGGAAGTTTGGTTGAAATTGGTACGACGTGATAGAAAAAGTTGTGTGTATGAAAGGTTTGATGTAATGAAAAGTTGGAAGTTTGGAAAAAAAACTTTGGAACTAAACATGGCCTTAATTCTATGGATGCATGTATTGTATTTATTAGAGTGATCCAAACATAGAGACGGTAATAAATGTTTCTTGCTTTTTGAGTTAAAAGGGTCGTTGTACCACGTATTTTGAAATGAATGGAGTATTAATTAAAACCATGATTTGAAAATCAGTGGAATTATTGTCATCGACCAAACAAACAATTAATTAATGGTCGATATATATATTTGTATGGTTTTCAGATTAAGAAGGAAATCAAGGAAAGCCGAATCAACGTTACATCAAAAGTAAGTACGGAGCCTAAATGCCCTTAATTAATGCCAAACCATGATTTGTGAGTTTTTCTACAGAACAGTCCTGGGGATTTGGTACCACACACATCCAGGCTCTTTTCCAAGGACAATACTGTATAATTTGATGTTTGCATTGCTGAAGGTGGTGAATTACATAAATAATGCCAGTGGTGATGCTCGGCCCTCAGTTTTCGTGAGCGCAACAGCCATTGGCTTCTATGGTGAGTAGTATATGCACCTCCAGGTCGATCGATACCATCAGCTGGTTTAGATTCAATTTGCTGGCCATGGAGAATTTTGAGCCTTGGAATGCATATGCAGGTACCAGTGAGATCAGTAGCTTCGATGAGTCAAGTCCGTCAGGCAATGACTATCTAGCAGAGGTAAGAGTAAGATGGACATCGATACCATGAATGAATGCATGATCGATGTGTGAACCTGTCAGGCAATGACTAATCTTTGCATTGCATTTACAGGTGTGTCGAGAGTGGGAGGCCAGGGCATGCCAAGTAAACCAAGAGGATGTTAGGCTTGTGCTTCTTCGGATTGGGGTTGTTCTCGGCAAGGACGGCGGCGCTCTAGGTACAAATATATACTGCTTACTAATTTGCTTTGCTATCTGCTTGCTCTTCCTTCAATTATCAGATCGTTCCATCCAATTATATCATTTTTTTTGTTGAGATGATTTCTGTTCACTCATCTGATAGAATAATACGTACATACATACATGTATGCAGCCAAGATGATTCCCCTTTTTATGATGTTTGCCGGCGGCCCCCTGGGGACGGGACGGCAATGGTACGTACGACGATCAGCGAGCCTAATTAGATCATATAAACAGCTGGTTGACTAATAGGCAACGTAGAATCTGAAAAATTAGGTTTCAAGGCTTTTTAGCTTTTAATTTACTAGAAAAAATACCCGTGCGTTGCACTGGGTGAAAGTTATTTTAATCTTATTATTATTTTATAGTTTAGTTAAGGTGAAATTCACTGTAAGAATTAGCTTAGATATAGGAGTATATTTTTTATAAAATCATGAGCTATAATGAAGAGCCCGATCATCTCAAGTTAGCATGTGAGTTTTCTTAAAGGGATTTCTTATACGACTACTTTTGTATTTGCAAAATCGAACAAACTTAAAACTCGACTCAAATACGGATCTGTATTTCCAAAAGTGAACGAACCTTAAAACTGACTCATACACAGATGATGTACCAAAGTTCCGTTACATCTTCAATTTTTATAATAGTAGAGACTAGAAAATCATGAGCTACAATTAGGAGTCCGATCATCTTAAGTTAGCATGCGAGTTTTCTTAAAGGGATTTCTTATACAACTCTTTTTGTGTCTGCAAAATCGAACAAACTTAAAACCCGACTCAAATATGAATATTTATTTCCAAAAACGAAAGAACCTTAAGCTAACTCATACACGAATGATGTACCAAATTTCCGGCAACAACATCTTCAATTTTTATAGTAGTAGAGATAGAGATTTTTTGGATTCTATAGAGCTTGTAATTCTATAAGAAACTGCAACTACTATAAACTCATCAAACAAGCCTTATAATAGTTGCCAAGTCGATTTAGTACATACATATATGGACCTTAGCTGAATATATGTGTCGATTATTCCACAGGTTTTCCTGGATTCACCAGGACGACCTGGTGGACCTCATCTACGAGTCCCTCAAGAACCCATCATATAAAGGTAACTCCTCATCCAATAGGAGTATTATATATATATATCTCCATCAGGGAAAGAACATGATAAATAATATACTCATTTCGTCCTATAATATAAGGGATTTTGAAGGGATGTGACACATCCTAGCTATAACCATATATCTAGACATAGCTAGGAACATATATCTAGACATGCTCTTGTCTAGATATATGTGTTATATCTCTCCAAAATCCCTTATATTATGGGACGGATGAATATGTTATATTACTCCAGACCAAATTAAACTAATTAACGACATCGGTCAAATTAAATTAGGCGTGATAAACGGAACCGCACCCAACCCGGTTCGGCTGTCGGAGATGTGCGAGCGGCTGGGGCGAGTCGTCGGCCGCCCCTCCTGGCTGCCGGTGCCAGAAATCGCCCTCAAAGCGGTGCTCGGAGAAGGTGCATCAGTGGTAATATAGTAATTACTGTATTTGTTTTCCTTCCAGCTGGCTTAGGCCCTGTTCACTTTGATGCAATTTTTAACGAAACCAAATTTTGGTAAAGTTATAAAAAAAGTGGCTACATATAGTTTGCTGTCAAATTTTGGTAACTATATAAGAAATCTTGCCAAAAGGTTTTTTTTGGCATCAAAGTGAACATGCCCTTGGAATTTGGAATAAGATGCTTGCTTGCCTGCCTGCCTGCTCTGCAGCTTGGATCATGCATCAGAATTAAGAATATATATGCATGCAATGCAGGTCCTGGAAGGGCAGAAGGTTCTTCCTGTGAAGGCCAAGCAACTGGGCTTCTCCTACCGATACCCCTATGTACAGGATGCACTCCGGGCCATTGCCAGGGACCTATGACTGATCGACTCAGATGAATACTCAAATCGATCGATCCGCCGTGCACGCACAACAGTAGATATCAAAATTGAAATATATTATATATACCAAAAGCAAACTATTATTGTTGTTGGCTTGTATTATCTCTGATTAAACTAGGCCATACGTTTCATTGGATGGCGTACGTCTTTCCACCATTTTTAGACTGAAGCAAATATATGCACGTGAATGAATGAGTATATATTTTCTTCGTGTCTTGTTCGTTCTCGAGAGTCGAGACATGCAGATCGAGAATTGAATTGAATGGCGGCCGCGAAGGCGATGAAGCTGTTGCAGGTTGCCGCAGCGCTTGTGTTGGCCTGCTTGGCGCTGCAGGCGACCACGGCGGCGGCGCATTTCACGCTGGGCGTGTCCGACGATCACTACACGGAACGTTCGCAGTTGACCCCCAGGCTCCACAGCGAGCCCCTCTTGCTTCACCTCATCGACAGGTTAATTACTACTTCTATATATACCTTTTATCTTTTTGCTTCCACTTTACATTTACATCTTCCAGTATATATATTACTCCAAACGAAACCAATTTAATTTGCGTGGTGTGTGCATGTGTGTGTGTATATATATATATATATGTCGTAAAACAAAAGAATTTCTTGTTATAGCTAGCTCCGTACCGTATTTATCTTAATTGTTGCAGGATTAAGTACCGACGTCCCCTCCGACGGAGTTACCGCGATGAACAACCAAACACTTAATGGGAGGAAGAAGATGAACAAGAGATGGGAGGAGACAAAGGAACGATGTCTTGTTCGTTGGATGCTCTGTTCGCTTGCCGGAGCCCGATGCATGATTACTCCCATATATATATATCATCGTTCCATCACTACATAAGCCTTTCTTTTTTAAAGCCTCGATTGTTCTTAAAAAAAAGCCTCGATCAATGCCACGCTGCATCTGGCATAGTGGCCTGGGCCCAAATCTATATAAAAAAGAAGACCATCGATAAGGTACATAATATGCAGGTAATGTACCAACTGTATACGCGCGCGTGCGCCGGCACATGTAAGGTATGTATAACTAAAAAAAATATGTGGGCATATGTTTACTTTTTTAAGAAGATAAGGTGGCTATTCCGCGCCATCAACGTTGCATAGATAGATTGCCACTAGACTTTGTAAGTTTTGCTGTGTTAACGTTATGTGTGTGTTTCCTTCGTTATTTCTTACTAGCAAAATACCCGTGCGTTACACCGGGTATTGGTGGGGTCGCTGAAGTTTGATATTAACAATTTATCAAAAGCACATGACATGATAATAATCATCGGCGATATGTAAAATGATAAAGAAATAATTTATTTTATATTTGCACGATGTGAATGACTCGTCTGACGCGATTGGGCCTGATGGTCATGGCAAGGGGGCGAACAATTAATGCGTCTCCTTTTGCATAGAAGGCGACTGATGGAAAGTTAAGTGATAAATAGAAAAATAAATATTTTTTAAGTACATAAGCTTAACGAAAAATGAATGGAATTGACCTAAGGGCACATCTGAATTCACGACATAATGTAAATGTGGGATATATTCGATTTTCCAAGTATTGTACTTGTGATATGGAATATCTGATTCATGAAAATGGATGTCATTATTTTTTGGGAAAAGTGTGAATTACACCTCTGAACTATTGGGTGATTACGAATTACCCCTTAACAAATATATTTCACCCTCAACTATCATACCAGACGAATTACCCTCCTAACTCAAACCAGAGCGGGTTTGATCCTACGTAGCAGTCTAGTCAGTATTTTTTTTACAAAAAATCGGTAGGCCCCACATGTTAGTCTCTCACCCTCTCTATCTCTTTCCTCTCCCCTCTCTCTTTCCCTAATCCTCTCTCTTCTTCCTCCCCTCACTTCCATCTCTCTCGGCGCCCGACGGGGACAGGGCGGTGGTGGACTGCTGCATCTGCCTGGTGCGGTTCGAGGTGAAAGCGGTGTTGAACCGCCCCCCTGCGGCCACATCTTCCACCGTGCCTGCCTCGAGACATGGCTTGACTATGACCATGCCACCTGGCCGGTCTACCGCTCCTGCCTCGTCGATGTTACTGGCCGCCCCCTTGGCCCGGACTTAGTGAGGGGATTTGATTCGGTTCGCCGACGAGCCGCTCGCGCCAGCTACGCGCCACCGTCTCCGGGGGGCCTTCCCGTGTGGGCGTAGGAAATGACTTCTCTATGGTGGTCGATGGGGGCTGGGCGATGGAGGGGGAGTTGCGGTTGTCGGCGGGGGCGCAGGCAGTTGGGGGCAATGGAGGGGGAGTTGTCGTCGTCGGTAGGGGTGAAGGCAGTCGGGGCGGCGGCGGAGGACTCGAGGACGGTGACAGGCAGATGCGGAGGGGCGTGCAACTTTAGGCGTCGGATGGGTAGTCAACAAATACGGCTGACGGGGGTGGGGCGAAGGCGGTCAGCGTGGTGGAGGGGGAACCGTCATTGTCGGCGGGGGCGGAGGTAGTTGGGACAGTGAAGAGGGAGTCGAGGACGGCGACCGATGGGGGCGGGGCGGAGGTAGTCGGGGCGGCCAGCCGCCGACACGTCTCTTCCATGGCATCTGATAAGAGAGAGAGAGGGGTGTGAGGGGAAATAGATAGTGACGAGAGAGATATGAAAGGTGGGGCCATTGATTTTTTTTAATAAAAGATTTGCTGACTGAATTGCTTACTGGTGGTTTTTCATCCGATATTGATAGTTGGGTGAAAGATGTTTGGTTTTCGGGTTTAGGGGGTAATTTATACCCACCTAAAAGTTTAGGGGCAATTGCACATTTGACCCGTTCGAAAGTCTAATTGCTATTTTGACCCTATTTTTTTGAGTTTGCTTATTTGACCCTTCTTTTTAAAAATGAAGATCGGGTCTGACCCTAAACTTGGTAGAAAAAAATACGTCCATACCCTTGCTCATTTGAGCTTACATTCTTTTTTTTTCTTTTTTCCTGAAACTCAATAGTTTATTCAATCCAACTTCTTGTGCACCGCCGGAGAGCTAAAAAGAGTGATTAGATTTTAAGTTATTATGCTAATCAAATATTAACAGAAAGATATAAATCTCGCATCTGTTGCATCGCTCAAAACAAGATCCATTTACTAACCGCTCTCTGCAAACAAAGTACTTTGCATAATTGCATATACACCCAGAACAATTAAACAAGCTAGAAAAAAAAGGTGCGAAGAGAAAAAATATCCCCAAATCCAGGCCTACAATTATCTAAAAAAAATCCAAGCCTACAGCAAAACTGCAGACCATTCTTCCAGATCATTGCTTGCTTCAATCAACAGCGGCTGGATCTTGCGTAGCTCCATTCCTCCGCTCCAAGAACGGCCACAGCCGACGCTGCCGCTTCCTCCTTCAGCGCGCCGACGCCACCGCTCCCCAGCGCACGGCCGCTGCCGCCGCCGCCGCTCCCTACGCCACCAGCGACGAAAGTTGGGACTGGTCCGACTGGATGAGTAGGTGGGGATTGGGATGGTTGATTAGGAATTGGGGGTATTTTGGTCTCTCTGGGGTTCTAAATTTATTTTTTTCTAGATGAAGTCCTAACGATTGAGTGGAAACGAGATTAGACGGCAACTTTGATTTTGAAAAGCAGGGTCAAATAAGCAAACTTGAAAAAATATGATCAAATTGGTATTTAGGCCTTAGAACAAGGTCAAATAAGCAATTGCCCCCAAAATTTATGGGTGTAATTTGGACTTTTTCTTTTTTTTTCTTAGGTAGTATTGTGTTTTATTTATAAATTTTATTGGAGGTGAAATATCAATAAATATACCGGGAAAAATGGAAGCTAAACCGGAAGAAAAAGGGAAAGCTGAAGAAATCTCTCGTTTCTTCCAATCTACTCCAGTCTCTCTATTCCTCATGCTTATCCTTTTTAGGGGTGTTTAGATCCACCGGTAAATTTTTTTCCTGTCACATGGAACGTTTGAACATGTATGGACTATTAAATATAAAAAAAACTAATTACACAGTTTGTGTATAAATTATGAGACCAATCTTTTAAACCTAATTTCGTCATGATCTAACAATGTGTTGTTACAGTAAACATTTGCTAATGATAGATTAATTAGGCTTAATAAATTTGTCTCGCAGTTTACATATGGAGTCTATATTTAATACTTTAAATGTATATCCGTATATTTGATGTGCCCGACAATTTTGTTGTCCCGGTAAACTAAACACAGCCTTACTTTCTCCATCCTTAACAGTGGACCTCGCACTGCACAACTCTACCTCAGGAAGCCACAAATATATAATACTATATCTTATATTTTCAATTTACAACTAGTAAGCGTGCACGTGCAATGCACGTAAAACCATTGAGCTCGAAACAAAAGAAATTAAAACACTCATTGGTCATATATGGTATTCAAATTTGAAGGAGACAAGAGACTTTGTGATCTCCTTCAGAGACATGAGAAATAGGAGAAGCAGCGAAGGTACCAATATTTGTCAAACATATAGCTTATGAACCAGACCTTATCATCAGTACTGGCTCAGCCTCACCAGTCACCACCTTCATTTGATTTCCATTGAAATACAGTAGTAAGTTAACAGCAAATATATCACTGTCATCACCAATTCAGACCATACTGAAGAAACATGTTAGCAGTACTTACATATTTCACATGACAAAGATAATTTTACATACTGAAGAAACTAGTTTAGTATACAGTTTCTTAAGTTGAATCTGCTGGGGGGCAGAGTATATTAAGAAAGATTGTAGGAATGTACATTATTCCGACACACACCCCGCAGCAGCGTCCCAGGCAAGCAACGGCCTAATAAACAGAAAATAACAGCTTCTAAAAACCCAACAACAGGACAGCTCAGAAGCAACTCAAGTTGCTGTGATCAGGCCTGCGGCCATCCAGGTTTCCCAGGCCTAATATACAGTTTCTTAAGGAAACAGGACATATTTGAATAACACGTCAGGAACTTCAAATCCAGAAGTTTGCCACAATATTTTACACTTACTTGTTCACATGCACAGTTAACAGCTATGACCATCCTGTAGCTTTTCAAGGAACATGTATAATATGTAGATAGTGTGGAAAGCACAAAGATGAAAACCATAGGATAACCTTGAAGAGAAACCTGTCAACTTTGTGATGATCTTTCCTTCGCTGTATAAGAGGAGCAGTGTACCTTAGAAATCTGCGAATGAAAACAATGAAAATAAGATATCGTTCTTATTAATATACTT